GTGTCCTTGAAAAGCCCTTGTATTATTTTTAACCAATTACCTCTTTAATCCACCGCGCCGCCTTATCAGCTCCCAGCCCAACAGGCAGGCTTTCTGATTGTTTCCCACTTTTACCAACTGTTGCTCCCACAAACAGGCCGCTCACACACACACCCCTCAACACACAGCGCCCAGAGCACAGAGTAGTTTCAAGAGTTCCAGTTTGAAGATGAGGCTTCAGTGGAGGAACAACATGTTTTCCTGTCTTCATAGTTGAAAAATGAGGAGCGCTACACAGGCACCCAGTGGAAGTCATTTCTGAGGCTGGAGCTGGATTAGGATATTGTTAGGGAAGGTTAAGGAGCTCGAGAATGCATTTTAAATCACCACAGAGATTAAGAAATAAAAATAAACAAAGTATGTGTGTGTCTGTGTGCGTGTGTCTGTGTCTGTGTTAGTGTGTATGTGTGTCTGTGTCCGTATGTGTGTGTCTGTGTGCGTGTGTCTGTGTCTATGTTAGTGTGTGTGTGTGTCTGTGTCCGTGTGTCTGTGTCTGTGTGAGTATGTGTGTGTGTGAGTGTGTGTGTGTGAGTGAGTGTGTGTGTGTGTGTAAGTGTGTGTGAGTGTGTGTGTGTGTGAGTGAGTGTGTGTGTGTGTGTGAGTGTGTGTGTGCATTCTCTGTGAGGAAGGCTGCCAGCTGGAGCGGGGCAGTATTTGTGTCACCGGGATACCAGAGCAGTCATTTACTGTTTGGCACAACACTCTGGCTCCAGTGACGGCATACACGTGTGTGTGTGTGTGCGCGCTTACACGTGTGTGTCAGTATTATGATACTGGTGGCAGACAGTGATGAAATTAGTGGGTGATGAGTGACATTTATTCAATTGCCCCTTCCTCTCCTCCATATCTCTGTTGCTCCTTTTCTCACCTTCCTCCCCCTGATTATCTACTCCCCCACGTCCCTCCCTCTCCACACCCACCCTCACTTTCCGTTTCCCTTTCCTCCCTCCCCCTTTCTCTCCCCAGACAGCAGAGAAGAATCGGTCCTGGGCAGTATTCCTCTGCCCAGCTATGTCATTTCACCCGTTGGGCTGGAGGACCACATCAGCCGCAAGTATGCCTTCAAGGTACGCCTCCCTCTTCTGCATACCACAATGCTTCTCACTTTCTTCTCTAATGATATTCTGACTTTTGTTTGTCACCAGAATTTTGCGGCCTAGTTTGGTATTGAGTATAACTTTTACTTTTTATTTTTTTAACCCAGTCACCTGTTGCCATGTTGGCTTTAGATTTCATAGCTATCAAATCCAAGTCCATGCACCCAGACTACATCAGACAAAAAACTGATGTAGTAGAATGCTACTGAAATACTTGTTTGTGTTTCAAATTAGATTGAAAGAAATGTTTCTAAGTCGCTCAGTAAATGGCCACTAGCTAAAAGAATGCATCTTGTTTTAGATTTTCCAACGTGACAGACATAGATAATAGGTTTTATTCCCACTGGAGCCACTCGAGATAAAATGTATACACTTCATGCTATTTAAAGCGAAGGAGTTTTCCACTGAGTGGTTTATATCATTGCTGGCAGAGCAGCTCATGAGATAAAACGTTGCTTTCCAGAGACAAATTGCTTTTCTGCAGAAGGCCGATGTAACACCTGCTGAATGTCAGCCGGCAGGTCCGGAGCAGGCTGAGCATTGACATCTACCAGAGATTTACTTATGACTTATTAGACACTCAGGCACAGCAAAGAAGCTCTTCGGAGGGAAAGAGAACTTTCTGCTAAGGCCATTGCTACAACATAGATTTATGTATATATATATACGTTTAAAAAAAGTTGAACTAAAAAGGTTTGAAGTTTAAGTGGCCATATAAGTCCAGTTTTCTGTATTCCTCTAGTTTTTTGTGTTAATATTAGTCAAAACAGTGCTAATGGATTTAAAAGTTGGCAGTATGGATACATGTAAATGCAGATTTACCTTCCCAGCCTGCACCACTCAGCACCTGTTGTGGCGATGTCTATTTCTACTGATTGTCAGTCAGCGTTTCTATTGAGACAGACAAGCTCATCTGGAATGGCATGAAGCGGTCCATAACCCGATGCCACGCATTTCAGCTGAGCCCAGCACGTGGAAAGCTGGGTGGCAGGCTGACAGCACAGTGATAGACGCGTTTGGGGGAAAGAAAGCACATGAATGCTGCAAATGCAGGAGGTTTTGTCAACAGGAAACATGAGGCTTGGAACTTAAAAAAAATAAAATAATAACATTTGATAATCAAACCTACTTAAGCCATGTTTCTATCCCTAAGCCGTACCCATCTCTTTTCTTAGTGCTGCTTACAACTCTGTCTTTAGAAAAGGAGATTGCCTACGTTTCTATCTGATAGAACACATTCACCCAGTTCACTTCTGATTTGTTCAGTCATCGCAGACCAGACAAATCAGAGCACTTTGAGTCTACTTGGAGCATAAAAGGAGGTAAAATCAGTATGGGATCATGTTTATTGTGCAGGTCTATTCAGTGGCTGGTAAGTTTAGCTTATAAAGTACCTCCCTGGAAAATCAGATACGGCTTCAAATTGATCCGTTTCCCCTTAAATGGAAATGGTCCCGTTAGATTGGTGTGGTATTGCCCTTTCCTCCCAAAAATGATTTCTGCCGTCAGATACAGTCAAATATATGGTTTCCACCAGAAAGCTGGATGTCATAGATGAACTGAACGATAACTCTGAGTGTAAGTGTGTCTGGTGTCATTCAGTGTGTCGCTCAGCCTTTGTCTTTATCTGTCTGGTCACTGACAAGGGGGTTCTCTAAAGAAATACAGGCACTAAAGACACCAGCAAACAGCCGGCTTTTTAACTGATTGATAGATTCTATTATGTTATGTATTTTGAGTGTGAAAAGTCTGAATACAGCTGACCACACACGCTAGCTTGGTCTCCATAAGGGAAGAGGCGAATTATCCTTGATCCACTTTGACTCCCTTTGATTTTTAAATCACTTTTTTAATGTTGAAGAAATTATTTATTTAAAAATAAGCACTTATGAAACTTTTTTGCCAGTGATTGAAATTACAGTACAAATAGCACTTCGAACACAGTTTCCCTCGATGTTAAAAGGAGAAGCTGGATGATTATTTTCTCCTTTATCTTCATTAGAGGAAATCAAGTTAAAAACTTTAGACAATTCTCATCATAATTGGCCGAGACTTACAGAAGATCTTCTATAAACTGACAGAATCTGACTTTTGAGTCGAACTAATCTCGTTCCCCGATTAAAATTCAACAAATCGGGAGCTACGAGTGAATTAACATAGGTTGACGTCCAAATAAATGGGGTGGACTAAAAGAAGCAAAATACCTCTCCAGTTAAAACGCAAACACACAATGAACAAGTACAATGGACAAAAGAAAAGCCTGACATCTCAACAGGTTTTTGAACGTTTTACTCTATCTGTGGTGCATCGGTTAGTGGTCGCAGAGATTAGGATGGATTCCACCTCTGTGTCAGGACCATCGAACACATTCAAGCATGTAGCTGATCCATTTCTGTGTTTCACTTAGAGCATGGAAAATTCCTTCTCTGGTAAATACTCCCTTTGATCCTGAAACGCTCGCAAAAAAAACTCTTCAAATCAATCCTGCAACAAAAAGGAAGCAAAAGAAGCCTAACTGCTGACATGTGGCCAGCTTTTCTTATTCTAGTACAAAATGTGTAAGTGCTTTTATCAATAAATGAGTCATGATATTTAAACATACAGTAGGATGCAGTTTTTTTCCCTTGAACCTGCTGGGGTCATAGGATTGGCAGCAAAAGCCTTTAGAGCCTTCATCAGCTGCCACTCATAGATAGATCTCGGTCACTTCTTTCAGACAGGAACCTTTTAATCAGAGTAGAAAGCTCCCTGATATTGTGTAGATCTAACAAATATGCCATGTTTCCCTGCAAAGCCCTCCATTGGGACTAGAGGATCACTAGTACCTGAATACTTTCCCAGAAGCCCTCTGGAAAGACCTGGGTGCTGGCTCTTTATTCCTGCTCATGTTGTCCCTCTTCTGTTCTCCATAAGTTCCCTGAGAGCAGGCTAAAAGGAGCTGTTTCTGTCCTAGTGATGTAGAAGTGCTACCACAGGGTGACCTCCCCCCCGTGTGCTAACATTAGACCACTAAGAACACAGACGTTCAGCAGGAGAAGCCGGCGTCGGCTGCTTCTCTGCTTTTCTGTGGAATTCAGCTTAAATCCCGCCGTTATTCACTTCCCCCTTGAAGGTGATTGGCCCTCCACAGTCGGGTCAAATCAAATCAAACTTGAGCTCCTCTTTTATTTCGAGCAAAGCCCTCTTCAGTGACACACTAGACCCCCAGAATCCCCCCGTCACCCTCTCCTTCCCTTATTCACCGAGTCCTCTTCCCTCTCTTGTTCCCATTGGCTGGCTGCCTGACTGAGACCTCCCTCCCTCTCTGTGAGTGTCACGCCGTCCAGTGACAGCCCCCCCGTAAATAGGTACTCTCTGCATCCATGTGCTTCCACTCTGCCAAATGTAAAGCCGATCTGTCCGCCGTTGGTGTGAGCCTGAGCAGCAGCACGTCACTTCCTGTAATCTCTGATGCATGTCTTGAGAATAACTTGTTTTTGTTTTGTTTTGTTCTGACATGTTCTATTGGTCTGTCAGTGTTCCCCTTTCTTATTTAATTATTCAACCCCCTCGTCTTGCTCTTTTCCCGCCCTCCCTCTCTCTCTTCCCCTCTGCCGTACCTGGTTGTGGGCTTATCCCCTCACCCATTCACCCCTCTCTGTCCCCTCCCTCCGCCCTGTCAGCGGAAAACCTATGGCTGGCAAGAAGAAAAAGGTTGTTGTATTTGGGGGATCCCTTCTCCTCTCCAAGCTGTTTTTAGAGGAGAAGAGTAATGCTGAAAAGCTACAGGTGCTAGACAGTCAGATCATTATTTGTTCTTTTATTTTAGCTCAGAAACTACAAGTGCCTAAAATAACTTGGTAGTACAGAAATCCTCTGACACTGAATGTTTCACACCAAAAAAGCTGTTGGATTCTCAGTCCCGTTGCTTTCCAGTACAACTTCAGCTTCAGGACGCTCCAGTATCAGGAGCTTTATGCCGCTCTAGCTGCTGAGGCTTATCTGTGTGAGCACAATGGCTCTTTAAATAGCGCCCGGACAAAAAGAGAGCATGCGTTTGTCAGGGGCTGTCTGCGGGCTGTGGACGGCCACTATTGTGAGCCTTTCTGAGAGTGAGAAGCAAGTGATATTTCCAGGCTGAAAGAGGGAGAACACAGAAAGGCAGGAAGTGATTCAGAGTGGAAAATATACAGCAAATAAAGAGGGGAAGCGATAGAAAGGCTGGAGAGGACAAAGTGATACCGACCGGTTGCTGTGAAATAAAAAGCCAGAAAAAAACTGTGAATATCCCCCAACCCCTCTATAAAAAAACACAAAGCAACATAGTGCAGGAAACAGATAATCAGAAACACCCGTAAGAGTGCCACCACCTCCCACACAGACCCAAACAGAGGGAAGGCAGAGCGCTGCGTGGCGTGGGAGTGTAGGCGGGTTGCTCCTTCTCTCAGAGCTGAGTGACCCTCTCAGCAAAAAGAGACGCAGAGACTCCCAGTTTTATTTCACACTGGCTGGCGGTGCTCAGTGTGGTATTATGCATGTGTTCAGTGGGAAATAACTGGGCCAAACCTAATGCTGGTCATCGAGCTGTTAAACCCGTGCACGCTCTGGTAACGTTTTTCGGCTATTTTAGGATGTTTTTGTTCACTCCATTAAAAGCCACCATGGATTTGAGATCTGGAAGTTAAGCACCGAGTTTGGATTTAGGCTTTTTTCAAAGCTTTCTTGCAGTCAGGCGTAGTTGAAATTCAGTTGCTGCCTATTGCGAATGTTTCTGTGTTTGGACTGTACACACTTCTGTTCTCCATCAGTCACCAAGCTGCTTCTCCCGCCCTGGTGAGAAGAGGCCATCTGCCCAGTGTCCTGGTGGTGAGGCAGCGGGCATGTTTTGACAACCCTCTCCTAAGGAAGCCGTTGTGCTTTTGTACAGATATGCTGTTTTTTGGTAGGAAGAGTCGTCTCCGGACGTCCTCTCGTTTACCTCAGGATCTCATTATCTGAGGCCTGGCCACACTCACACTGGTGCTGCTCATCTAGGTGCCATTCTGATAGAAGGGTTTCTTCAGGTGTCCTGCTTTTGAGGTGAAAGGGTCAGGATTCAAATCCCCTTCTGTAAATGCTAATTGGTAATACAACAAACAGATGGATGATGAATTATAAGTGACGCAGCTCTCTGAGGAGGTTTTAAAATGGTGTCATGTTGTAACCTCATCTTTGGAAAAGGTTGAACGTATGAACAAAGCCCTAAAACACTGACTGTTATTGAAAAATCCCTTCTTTTCATATTTGGGTATCTGGAGTCATAACCAGCTACCAAACACAACCCTGGCATTTCGTTTTCCGTCCCAAAAGTCGGAAAGTTTAGAGGGTCGGCCAGGTTACAGGCTCTTTTACCATGTGATCTCTGCCTGAATCCAACCACAGACTACACATCACTTGTCTAACCCTAGAAATAAGAAGTTAAAAATGTACCTAATGTCTCTTAAAACAATTAGTTACCTAATTGGTAGCTATGATCTGTTTATTTTGGTGCTCCAAAGAGCAGTTCTTAATTTTCTATAAAAGAAAATAAATTGAATTGTTACAATTTGAAAGTCGGACATTTTAAGCTCTGATTTGTTGCCTAACGCACCATCAGTGAAGGACGATATTGGTTAAGTATTGACCCTAGAATCGGCTATTCTGAATCTGAGCTCCGGCAACTTAAGCACAGCAGAGAGGGAAGGAGTCCAGAGTTCATGGATGCTGTAAGTGACAGAAGAACCACAGCTTGCTTCTCAGTGGTGTTGCTGACCAGCCACCCGGGCCAGTTTAGTCCCTGATGAAGGCCTACAGAAAACTGGTATAGGTTGCCTCCCAGCTGCACAGCTCCATACAAGAGTACTATAAAAAGGTAAGAACAACATTTCCTGACAATTATTTTTTGTGAAGGATCTAATCTCTCAGGCTGCTCTCTGGGTTGTCAAGTAATACAGCATTAAAAAAGACAGACCCAGTGGTTCTGCTTCAATGCCAGTCTTAAATTGATAGAACAAAAAGCGGTGCCACACTAAGTCTGTTTTTTGTTTTGTATTTATTTAGTTTTGTGACAAGGCATGTCTTTGACATTTCATTAAGACGTCAGAATATGGCGTCAGCTTGTGGAGGAACAAAGGCTGTCGCACGTCTCCTGTGAGGCTAATGTCAGCTAGATCCTGCTGACGAATATTAAAAGCAAGCTGCCAAAGGTTTTCCCTGAGCTGCCGCTGAACACGGCACTACCCGCATCCTGGTACTGTTTTCTCAACCAGACAGAATAGACTTTTCTCACTTCAAAGAGGGAGATTTTCACCACTGATTTTTACCACACATTCTTTGCCAGCAGTGTCCATTTTACTTTTGGCATGCCGATTCCCTATCGGATCGGATAGATTTGTACTTTCCAGCATTTTCCCTCGGACACTGTTATCATGAAATGAATCATAAGCCATAAGTGTGTGATCATACTCACGCTAAATATGTTAGTGAGAAGGGGTGTTATGTTAGTGATTACTTTAAAAGAACGTTTGTTTTGTTTTGTTTTGTTTTTTTAACTTAGTCTGGTCCCAGCTCTATTTGGTATGTGTTTTTTGCACTGCTGATGGTGTCAAGAGAGGTTTTATCGCATTTTAAGTCTCAGAAATAGTACCAAAAAAACAAGCAAAAAAGGGGTGTTTTTATTAACTACAGCCTCTGATCTGATGATAGCCAGCAATTCTCTTCATGTCTAAAAGTAGAGTCATAGAAATCATTGTATTACTTCACTAAAATAGAAAACTGCTTTTTCCTAGTTAAGGTTTTTAATGGTTTGAAATCCCACAAAGTCAATATATCTTAGAAAAAGGAATTAGCTTTAGATGATAATCAAATATACGCATTTGTTTTCTCCGACACATAAAAAACGTTTTTATTCAACACTCTCCCTACACTAATGAGACAGTTATTGCTGAATTATCTGTCTTTACTGTTCTTAATGTGTACATGTGGACTCTGAAAAGGAGCTGGTTTTATCAGCCAGACAGCAGAACCTTTCATAGAAATGTTGAATTACCGTGTTCAGGTTCGGATTCGTCTGTGGGGGTTTACTCAGAGTTTGCAGTTGCAGAGATAGAACAGCAGGGATGGCAGTCTGTTTTCTTCATGAATGTATTTAGTGTTTGCGTCCCACGGCCTCAGTGGGCATGTCATGTTTTATGTTTTCCCCACGACGAGACAGCCAGGCTGCAGAGGGACTGCATCCCTCTTCTGAACTGCATCCATTCTCTGGTTTTCTGAACCAGTGGGTGGAGAAATGTGTGTGTCCCTGCCAAAGCGGATCCCAACACGGCCCTCTGTACACACTCACTACCCCACAGTCATTGCTCAGGGAGGGGATCAGGGTAGGGGAGACTTAGTGCTTAATTACTTTTCATTTACATGCATCTGTTGTGGAGTGGGGGCACTCATTTGTCTCCTACTGCTGACTGAAGCGCAGAAGAAAGGACGGAAGGAAGGAAGAGGAAAAGTGGGACGTTTATAGGACTGCTCTCAATGGAGGACAGCTCTCTTTCAAAGGGGATCCAATAACCCTGCATTCACTGCGAGGACGGATCTATTAGGGCTACAAAACACTTAGAGGCTATTAATTAGAGAGCAGCTGGTTGTGCTATGCTAATGCTGGGGTTTCAGGCCAGCTCAGTTCTGTCATCGCGTGTTTTAGTCTCACTAAGGGTGGCAAGAACAATTCCAGTTGTCTGAAAATGAGTTTACAGCCAGTTTTATGGACATGATAATAAAATCCTCATCAGGAGTTCAAACGAGGTGTACACAAGCTCAGATTGACAACAACATGGTTGAAATATTCGAATTACTTACGCATAAAAAACAGTCCCCAATGCAGAAGCAGAGGTGGAGCCACTGCTTACCTCACAGCCTGCAGAGCCTCCTGGCGTGGTTAGGACTAGAAGGAATGCTTTTATGATGTTATCAGCCTTGAAGCTCGCTGCTTTTCCACGTGTTGCTGCAGTTCGTTTACGGTGGGAGTCATTTTTCTCTGCGTGGCTATCTCCATGCCCCGTCTCAGCATCCCGGTCGAGCCGAGCTCAAAGCTCTGAAACCAAAGCCTCATCAAACCAGCCCTATTGTCTCAGTCTCTGTTAGAACTTTCACGTGATTACCTTTACTGTTAGCCTGCTAACTGGGAGCTGTCCAGTCAGACATGTTTTCCGGCCTGAGACCACCTCACTTGAACAGCCACTTCTGGGAAGATCCAAATCTGTCTTGAATTGTATCCATGTTTGATTAAACCTTTTTCACAGTCGAATTATGGACTGTAAATAGTTTGGAAATGGCCTTATAAGCCCTCCTGGATCGATGGGTAGTAAGATTTGCTGCTCATCGCTGGTGTCTTTCCACCTGGGAAAGCTGTGTTAACATCTGAAAGCTCCAGAGCAGTGAACTACCAAAACCACTCTCTATTTTACTTATGATTAATTGTATAGACTTAGCAGCACCTGGCTGATATTTACCTTCTTTACTTCAGTGGAAACCTTTAAGGGACTGTCAGATTTTTTTGCATAAGCTGTTGTTCTTGGTACTTCTCTAATTTTAGGCCTTGGTAAAGACTAAAAGCTTTTTTCCCAACTTTTGTTTAATAAAGTTACATATGTATATGCAAACCGAAAGGATTCTACTCCCCGAAAAAGAATCAAATCAGCACTCAGGCTAAACCCTCTCCTGCCTTCCTGTGCTGGCTGCTCTGCGCTGGTTGCATTTCAGCCTCTCCTGCCCACACAAAACAGAACGGCTTTTGAAGGCCCCCGGCGGGTTCTTTGCTTTGCAGAAGAATGTTCTCTGGGAAATGAGGGAGATGGCGGCGATAACCATCGGCGCCGTTTGGGGCCGTTGAAAATGCTAACTTTCACATTTATCCCCTCAAAAAACTCTTGAGCAGTGTGAGCATTAATGTACAGATGGATTGGGCACCAGTCCCAGCCCTGCTTTAACCTCCGTCCTCTGATGGAGGGACCACTGCTCCATGTTCTGTAGCCTCATCCTGAGTCTGTTTGACCATGCTGAGCATTTGTTGTACGCTGGATCGTGTTCCAGTTTAAACACTAATATTCAGCTGAAAGACATGGGAATAATTCTGAAAAGCCACAAAGACACTAGCCACTGTTGACGTCGTCCTTTTATCCTCTGATAGCAAAAAATAAATAAATCTAACAGTCTCTTTTCCGACATCCATGCAAAGAATTACCCATCCAACCAATCCAAGTGTGTCTGCCATAAGATCTGGCTCCTTTGTTGGTGTGTTTGAGTGTGAGGACAGTGTGATTAGCAATCAGGCTAGCTGCAATTTGAACTGCCTGCTGGCAATCCTTTCTGCTCTCCAGCCCATTGTGATTCCTGTCAGTACCCCGCACCGGGAGATGGAATATTGAAAACATGTTTTTCTGATGTTTGGAAGCTCTTGAAGCTGTAAGTGTTAGTAAGACGATGCTGGATGCTTCATTTTCAGAGTAGGTTCATAAGTGGAACTGACAAAAGGAGAAACGTCCATGAGGAAAAATATGGATTCAGCTTTCTCGCTTCTGAAACTCCCCCTTTTTTATTTTCTATTTTCCATTGTGCCAAAGTCTTTTGCCCTTCATTGGTGAAAAGTTGTGGCTTTGTTGGTTGTAACTGGCTGGCGTTGTTGTCTGTGTATTTCTATTGTGTTCTTTCCCTCATTGGCTCTCTGCATCGGTCAGTGCTCATGCTGCCCTTGGTGTTGTTTCTCTGGATGGACAGCATGATGTCTCCGTCTCTCCGATCTCCAGACCCTCTCTCAGACCGGCGCCTCTTCACCTCCTCTCTTTTCTCCTCCTTCAGGCCAGCCACACTGGTATGCGTTCATACATTTACAAGCAGAGCTCTGTGATTGGCTCGCAGGCAGAGCACTCGGGGATGCGGACCTATTACTTCAGCGCTGATACCCAAGAGGACATGAACACCTGGCTGAGGGCCATGAACCAGGCCACGCTCATGCAGAGCCGCGTGGACACGCTTACCAGGTACACACACAGCGTAACCCCCCAGTACACCCGCTCAGCCAGCCACCTCAGTTTATCACTTTACCACTGCACCTTTATAGAATACGGATGGAATCTATAAATAACCTCTCCTGATGTACATTTGCCCTTTCAGGTGATCATTTTTCTCTCCATCTTTATCAAACATACAATATCATACTGCATCTTTTATCATGTGCAGGGTTAGAAGCACAATATATTCAGATGAGTTTTTTCCAATATCACGATGATGTTTGTGGTAACAATATTTGGTGAGACTTTATTCCATGGGGTGTACGTAAGACTGACACGATGCTGTCATACACATGGCAGAACACTAGTCATAGTTCCTCCCTGCTGACACAGAGCTTGTGCCCTGATTTTGCCCTGTCTGTTCCATCCCTGTACATAACGAGTTGTGGGTGCAGTCCCTCTCTGAGTCCAGAGACCACAGCATATTGGCTGTTGTTCTCAGTGCCATTGACACGCTGCATTCTGATGCTGTTTCTGAAGCAGAAGCGGCTCCCTTTATGCATTATTAACGTGTTGACGATGGGGGGTAGGGCCCATCAAACACGTGCCGGCGTTCACTGGCAGCCTCCTACACCTCCTGCACGCTACACTTCACTTCTCTGTTTTCACTGGGGGAAATCCCACAAGACCACGCTAGCCGTTTGTGACTGACACAAACAGCGAGCTGAGCTGCAGACAGCCTCCAGTTGGGAGTTTTCCCAACCTCTTTCTCTCCCCTTTTGTCTTTTTTATTTTATTTTTCTATTCTTTTATTTTTAAAAAGCCGTCAGTCTTACTGTTGACCCTTTTTTCCCCAACATTGTTTACTTTTACAGCTTAATACAAAGCCAGTACAACTCAAGCTTGTATGCTAGAGCTAAATCTAATGGGGCTGGACAGGCCGCAGCTGTGCTCTCACTAAAAATCTGAGCTTTGATTGGTGAAAAAAAAGTCAGCACATCCTGCTCTCCTGTTAGTCTTTAACAAGCGAGCGCTGCGTGTTTAGGTGGATCATTTACTGTCAGAGATCTGACTGCCTCGCACAGCTCAGTGCTCTGTGTCACATGAGATTTCTTTAATGAGTTTAGATAAAAGTTGTGGTTTCAAGGTTCTGCTCTGCTTTAAAACGGTCTCTGCGGTGTAAGAAGGCCTATTCTTAAAGTTTGAGATGAGGCTGAAAGGCTCAAACTTTCCTTTTGATGTGACAGTCCTGGTGTACTTTAGATTCAGCTCAGAGTAGCAGATCAAAAGCCAAAGCCCTCAGCCTGGTGTCCACAGTGAGGTGATTGAATGAAACAGAAAAGATTCCAGGCCCGTCGGGTAACCAACATTTAGGTTTTTGGAAAAATCCGGATCATCTGAAATTCTCCTAGAGAAGTTTTTTTGTAGGAGTCCAAAGAGTTGAGGTCTAACAGTGTTTGCTAACTGTGTTTGCAGGCCTGCTGACAGTGCAGAGAAACGGCTGCAGCAGGCCGTCCCACAGACCACCCACCTGAACCAGCACAAGCCCCCGGCCTCAGAGTCCGGCAGCACCCGGCCCCCCCTGCACCAGGTTCTGCTGGAGCCGGTCAGCCGTGAGCCGGAGCAGCGCTGCAGCCTCCACAGAGCCCCCCCCGCCGGCCTGCTGGACCCCCCTGCAGGGGGCGCTAGCCTGGAGCTGGACACCCACGCCTCGCTGCCGTCCAACCCCCCGCCCGCCGCCCCCCCGCAGCCGGAGCCGCTGTCGGCGTCGGCGCCCGTGTCCCGGGCCCCCTCCCGCGCCGCCTCCACGCTGCCCCCCAGCGTCTGCACCAGGAACGGCCTGGTCTCCACCCCCAGCCCCATCCTGGAGCCCAACGGCATCGCGGCGGGGACCTACCAGCGGGCCCCCGAGCCCCCGCCCGCCGCCCCCAAACACGGGGGGAGGAGGGGGGCTCTGGAGCAGGTGGAGCAGTGGGTCAAGGTTCAGAAGGCTGAGCACAGAGGGTACGTGACCGTTTAGGGTTCTTAGAAAGCCTCTTAACAATAACCTCTCATTTCAAAGTGCCAAATGTGCTAGTTTTAGTCAAAAATGGAAACGTATGAGAGGCCGACCTGTTTTCCTGAGATGGAACTGGAGACTGCATAAATTTTTCCCAACTCTTTGGCCCTGAACGCTTACATATGTAAGCGTTCAGGGCCAAATTACTGTTGGGAAAAACAACTATTCTCATATGGGTATTCTCGTATTGACAAAAAGCTGAACTTTAGAAGAACAGAGCACAACAGACATTAAACAATAGACACAGTACCCCCATTTTGAATCAGTGATGGGAGCGCTTTGCCTTATCTTGCCCCCCCAAAAATTGAATAATGTGTTCTGAAACGAGGCCATTAAAGACTGAGACATCAGGGCTGCCGTCGGAAACGTTTACATAGATTGTCGTTGTGTTTTCCTGATTTCAAAACTTGCGTTTGTGACTGTGCTTACTCAACAGCCCCCCATCCAGGGAGAACACCCTCCCCCGTCGTACGCCCCCCACACAGCACAAGTACACCTCCGTGGACTCCTATCAGACCTTGCCAAAAACGCCGCGTCAGAGCCCCCCGCCGGGGCGCGTGGGCGAGTACAAGTACGCGCAGGACCGGCTCAGCCACTTCCGGCTGGGGCCGGAGCTGGGGGGCCCCGGGGCCGTGTGGCAGCTGTACGAGTGGCAGCAGCGCCACCAGTTCCGCCACGGCAGCCCCACCGCTCCGCTCTACACCCCGGCCCCCGACTACCCCTTCGGCCCCCGCCCCCCCTCCGCCGTGCCCCCCTCCTCCTCGGCGCCCAGGTCGGAGGGCTCCCCCCGCTGCGTGTCGGTGCCCCCCTCCGCTGCGGACATCCCCCCGCCGGGGCCCCCCCCCGGCTCCAGCCGCACACTGTCGCCCGCACGCAGGCCACACACTCCGGCCGGCCGGGTGACGGTCAGGCCCGCCGGGGAGGGGTCAGCGCTGGACATGCCCTTCACCGTCTCCCCCCGCAGGAGCAAATCTCAGATGTTGAAGGTAAAGCCCCGGCTGACAGACACAGCAGCCTCGCTGGTTTTACTAACCTTTGATTTCCATCCCGGTAGCTCCGGGCTGCTTCCTCAGTTTCATGCATTAGTAATGAGTCGGTGGGGAAAATGCTGTCGAATGGCAGGTTTCTGGGGGCAAAGAAAGAGTTTTGTTCACTCTTTCTCTGTGTTTCTGTGAACTGTGTTTAAGGCCAACTGTGTTTGGTGTTAAATATTCTGGAAATGCTCCAGGCTTGTGTTTGTGCATTTCAATTTACATGTTAGACATGTTTGTGTCATCAAAACATTTGATTGGAATTGGGTAGAAGTCATTTTCAGAATCAGAATCAGAAATACTTTAATAATCCCAGAGGGAAATGATTTTTTCTCCAAATCGTCTTGCAGGCTTCTTTTCTGTCCCGAAAAAAGCGAAAAACAATAGCAGGAAGACTGACATCATACTTATTTGATATCACTGTACCTCACGTTATCTACATTTCTGTACTCAATCACAGAAAACTTGTCCACAGACACCAAATGACAGGATTTTTTCAGTAGCATCACCCTCACAGCAAGACCCCATCTAGCCATTAATTACTCTGTTGATAACCACCTCATTCTCAATTAGCATTTTCATCTGTTTTTTTGTGATGATGTCTAAAAGCAAGTGGATTCCTGTGTTTCAGGCTGCTACTATTGAGAGAAGGTCAATGCCTCCATCTGGCTACATCACACACACGGTCAGCGCGCCCAGCCTTCACGGCAAAACGGTGGGTATTAGCGGCAAACACAAATAGATGAGGAATTGAGATGCCTGTTTAAAACTTGTTTTTGTTATCTAAGAGCAGAAAACCCCTTTTGATTGTTTATTTTTGCTCTGATTCTGTGGCTGCCAATGTAACCAAAGGTTAAAATCCAGATGTGGCTTGATTTTCCACCCTGACCTAACAGCTGGTTGTGGATTTTGGGGGGGAAAGTGTGTGCGCCCGCTTTGTTTTCAGACTCACTGATCCTAAATATAGCAAATATAGCAGCACTTTTGCTTCTCCAAATCCGCCATTAGTCGCACTAGAATGTGGATCCTAGTGCCGGGAAAGCAAAGTCGCTGATGGAAAAATGGGAGCAATGTGTGGTCAGTGTTACGATGTCTCCGACTGAGTGTGCTCTGGTGCCCGTGACAGCCGGAGGAGCTCACTCTGCTCCTCATTCAGCTGCGCCGCCACCAGGCCAAGATGGCCTCCGCACGCCAGCATACCTTAACCCACCTCCAACGGCTCAATGGTCCCAAAGAGTCCTACCACCAAAAGCACCTCTTCACTGCCACCTCGGCTAGCACCAGCCCCCTGCTCAGCGCCCAGCCTTCCCCCGTGTCCTACCTCGGACATATGGGCCTCTCGGCTCCACTCGGCCCATGCAACATTCAGGTGGGGGCGTGCCTGCTGTCTGCCCCTCTTTTTTAAACATTTTTTACATTTATTTATTTTCAGGTGCTGGTAAAGGTTGCCACTAACTATTGTACAGGGCTACATTGCATTAACATTTCCTGCAGATCAGTCTCAGTAGAGGAACTCTTCCTCTAGAGCCAGTCAGAAAATGCCTCCAAATGACTAGAAAATAACACCATATCAAGTCTAAACTTCCTTTTACATCACAATCTTCCAACTACAAGATTTTCAATGAAATTCAAAAGGATCTTTTTATATTTTTACATTTTGCTCTTTTCAACCAAATTGATTCCCTCTATCATTTTTTTAACATGATAAGGGCACCAGTGGGTTATCGTGCAGTTTTTTAGGCTGGAAGAGGAAGCTGGAGTACTACAGAAAGAACCTACACACATATTGAGAGATCATGTCGTATCAAATTAAATAAAAAGATATTATACTGTCAAATGCACGATGGTACTGGTTACATTCCAGGGTCACTAAGAACTCACAACTTGCTAGTCGTCAGTATTCCCAAACACCCGCCCCTCTGGATGTGATAAAACAGTGGAGTTTTCCCTCTGTATGAGTTTTGCAAACGCATCATCTCCAACATTCCACAATCAAGTAGATCCACCTAAACTCAACCCGCTGTTTCCAAACATAGGTTCATTTTTCACAGATGAACTTTTGGTGCAGCCTTACTGCCACGGTATCCAGGACTTCCTGATTCCTGCTGTAAATGCCAACTAAACAAACCCAGCAGCACTGTGTCAGTGTGTTAGTGGCAATTCTTTGCTGTAAAAAAGCACCTTCATTTTGCCGTCAGTGGACACCGGCCTGGCCTCTAGACTTCCTTGGCTGATCAGTATCTACATCGTGCTTCCTCTGTGAGCTCTCCATAGCATGTTGTGTTCGAGTCCCTTGGACGTGCGCTGACACCATCCCATGCTTTAGCGTAGCGGCAGACCCTGGATGTGTGGGTCACTCTGGCCTCTTGTCTGTGGCTGTGCTGAATTTGGCGGTGTTTTGGAGTCTTGCTTCTTCTGATTGGTCTGGTTTGTGCTGCGTCCTTGTCGTTTGTCGTCGGCGCGGTTAAGAGTGGGGCCAATAGCCGAGCTTATTAAGTGTGTACCGGTTTTGTCCTCATGCATGCAGCGACCAGTAGACGCATAACACCACATCATACTTAACACACAAATTCCAGCCCAGCCGACCAGAAGAGCCCCGGCTGAGGTTTCTGATAGTAAATGACTGTTTCCGCTCATTTGTAATCCGCCCTGGCATGTCTGTCCCCCCCAGGCCGATGACACCTATGTCCAGCTGAAGAAGGACCTGGAGTATCTGGACTTAAAGGTGAGCCACCATCAGCTTCTTGGTTTTGTTTTAGTTTTTTTACTTTTCCTTTGCCCGCTCTGATCTGAATGTCTGAAGCTGAAGCGAGCCCGCCTTTGTGTTTCCCACTGACAACCTCTATATTAACTCTGGCCCATGCTGAACAGCCCCACGAGACGGCCACAGAGGCTGTGGCTAGCTGGTCAGGTCAGGGCCTCTGTGTGGTACTAAAAAAAGCCCGGAACCCTTCCACTGGTCTTCTAACTCTGGAGTGGTTTTAGAAGCATCTCCCAAAAGCAGCCGCCCTCCTGTGACTGCGACTCTGTGTCTCTGTGATTTTTGACTCCCAGATCAGAGCTCTAGAGCCCCTGATCCTGGCAGTTCACAGTTTACTACTGCACTGCACTGCTGGGCCTCTCAGGCCTCTAATGAACGTAAGCTCAACGTGGACGTGTATGTATGTGGGTCTGTGTGTAGTCACCGCATCCCAGCCGGAGGCTGTAGAGCGAGCCTCTGTCTGCTTTGGTGCTTGTGCATGTCCATAGAGAGGAGGGTCGCACGCTCGTAGTTTGTGTGTGTGCGAGTGTGCGTTTCCCCGTGTTTAGAGTCTCTGTCAGAACTCCATCCCATCGCTTTCCAGCACTGAACCGCCGGCCGTCTCATCTCCAGGAGATGGAAATTCTCTGACATGCAACAAAGCTCCAGTCTGACCTTTGGTCACTTTGTTTGAACCTTTATTGAAAATAAAACAAGTACAAAAGGCAGGATTTACTTCAGTTTCAATGATTTTTTATGATACTTCTTTTCACGAGTCAGCAGACAATGATTCTCCAAAGTTCTCCATGGCCCATGCTGCTGTATTAACCGTGGTGGCTGCTCGGTTGGCTTTGTAGGGCCTCATGAGAGCTTTATGGTTGGATTTATCCAACAGCTATAGGGTATAATTTCTTTGAAATTCAACCATGTGATAAATAAATGAATTTGGTGTTGAGATATTGTTTTATTAGCCATAAATCTGGAAAGGTGTTTGGTAAGAAGTGGTGAAAATGGGAAAATACTGTATTTAGCATTTCCACTTTTATACTCAATTGTGACACCCGCAATTTTGATCTTATAATAATATGACAGCAGGAATTTTATTTATTTTATTTACCATAAATAATTTTCTTTGTACTCGTGTCTCTCAAATAAAGGTTCAAATGATTGAATAAAACACAGATTTAGGTTTTGCGTTGCAGTTTAGAAAACTTTCCAACCTTTCTGGAAATGGGATGTGGAGAGGCCTCCCCCCCCCCCTTCCCTCCCCCCCAACATGTGGCGATGTTGAGGATGCTGCTGAGTTCTGGGCATGGGATGGCTCGGCAGTGCATGTGTCGTGGCTGTGGCCCGGTGGTTGAAAAGCCAGCTGCTTCTACCATCGTCTCTGAAACGCTGCACCTTGTTGACAACGATCCAGTAGCCGGGCTCAAACACTAGACCAGTCACCTCCAAGAACAAGACAGAGAGAGCTGTTGTCAGTTCATTTTACCCCTCATCTTATTTTTAGATTTGCAGGTACTGTTTTCTTTTTGTTTGTTTGTTTCTTTCTCTCTATCAAACCAGCAAGTGGAACCCCAATAACAGTCTGAGGCATCGGTCCTCTGGCAATCGAATATTATTCTCTTTGAAACAATACCATGCTTTAAAGAAAAGAAGTTGCAAAAGCCCACAGTTTTTTTCATATTTTTCATTTTTGTACATTTCATACAATGGACACCGTATGAAGAGGTTTGATGGGCAGTCATTTTGTGCAGGGCTTCAAAGTCTCCATAGCCACCGTGCTGTTCATGGCCAGAAGCCACTCATATTGTCACGTCCATCAGGGCCAGGAGAATGTGTGGCAGGTAGTTTGCATTGTAATAGTTTACAGCTGCCTCTGTGTTCCGTACTTCCTTTATTTCAGAACTAATGTGCCGTGGAGTCAGGCTCTTTTTTTTCTATTTGTGGAAAGTTAACATCTGGAAATGTTTCCTCTGAACTTTCCAGGTAGCTGGCAGCCAGACACTGAAGGAGTCAGGGAAACCTGTCAAGGTTGCAGAAAGTGATGTGGATGTAAGTATACAACTCAAACTTGACATTGTGGGTGTCCGTCAAATGTAAAAGAGCTAAATGCTACAGAGCTTCTTTTTTAAAACATAGTTTTAAGTTTATGATGTTGTTACACGTATTTGAATAAAGTTGGATTTTGGTCCAATTTTCTGCTGTAGTTGTAGAAACGGGAAAGGATAAAAGAAACCCTAACAGTGTTTGGTTTTGGTGGCTGATTAGCAGGTGAATTTTAGAATAAGTACTACATGCTATACAGTCACATTAAGAAATGGTGCCGCAGGTTGCAATGTTTTTCCACCATTTGAATTAGATGGAAACACATATACACCGGGAGTTTGAATTTGTACACAGTCTATGCAATAATTAAATCAACCAAGCAGGAGGAAAGAATTCTCTCTGCTCCAGTTTAGTTCCCCTGCAGACAAGGGAGCATGAAATTCTAGCTTGCAGCCCTGACTGTCATGATTCAGTCGGGTTCAAAGTGAGCGAACTGAAGGCAAAACAAAATCTGGATTATAGAGTCGTGTGGGAGGATGTTGTAGGCTTTTACTCCTCGCTTTAAGGTAACAACTGCACCCAGCGAGTGTTAATTAGTAGATGCTGTAACTCTTTCAGTTGGATGATTTGAACAGTTCCCTGCAGCTCTTCGGGGCTGCGCTCGCTCTTCTGGACACATTTCTCAGCCTTGGCTGCACACACACACTGCTTAAACAATTAATGAGCACAACGCTTGAGATAAATATTTGATTAGATTCAACAGCAAGCATCATCGTGGCGAACACAGAGGATTAATAATTTATTTGATTAAATCTATAACCTAGCATTGAATGAAAACATTAACACAGATAAACAGCCTTTTGTTAACCAGTATGCCCAGATGTTGAGTTGTTTTACCGCAGCATGCAGAAATCCTCCAGCTTTTTTGCCTTTGGCTTTGCTGGGTTTTCACTGGCTATCGGTGTCTGGAACACGGTCCTGCAATCCAGATTGTCTGGTGGACTGCACCCACTTTGATAAGAGACTGAGGATACGGTGTGTTCAAAACCATTCATGCTCACAGCAGCTGCCAAGACGACGGGAAGTTCTCACTAAGCAAAGCAGCCTCTTAATTGTCAAAGCTTAATGAACAGACTCGCGCGGAGAGTCTGGCACTTCGGAGGCGTTGTGTCTATGAGAGCACGCAGCCGTTTCCAGTCCTCCCTCCGTTCCCCCGCCAGCCCCTGAGTCTGTGTCTCCCCCTGCAGGTCAAGCTGAGCCGCTTATGCGAGCAGGACAAGATTCTCAAGGATCTGGAGGCCAGGATCAGCTCTCTGAAGGATGACAAGGTTCCCACTCTGACTCAGTTGTTCTGTCTTAGTCAGTGACATGAGTGATATCAGCTAACGGCGTCACAGTTAGAGCTGTCTCATCCAGCACCAATCGGTCCAGAGTTTTGTAATCTGAGTGACGATTCACACGGCGGGTTTCTTCTGACCATTTACATATAAATGAGAAAACTGAACGGAGAGACAGGCAGGGGCTCTTTCAACCAAAAAATGTAAATGATAAAGTCTTCACACCAAAGTGTTTCAGAGGAAGTCTGATCAGGATGGAGTCCTTTTTGTATGAATTAAACAGCTGTGAGGTAGAAATCCCCGCCGAATACACCGGGTTCCTGTTCTGTGGAACCTCACGCTGACCTGCCACTGGCCTTTTCAGGACAAGCTGGAGAGGGTGCTGGATGTGTCCCACCAGCAGATGGAGCAGTACCAGGAGCAGCCGGCCCATGCCCACAAGATCGCCTACCAGCAGAGGCTGCTGCAGGAGGATCTGGTGACCATCCGGGCTCAGATATCCCGCCTCTCCACGGTGACCCAGCCCGCCGGCCCTCCCAGCTGGACATGTCGTTGGCACTGCCAATTACTGCTCTGTCGATATTTCACAATGGCTCACTGTCACATGACAAGTTTGGCTTTTGGCAGGAAATGGCAAAGGCGTGGGAAGAGTACGGCCGGCTGGAGAGGTCTGTGGAGCAGCTGAGGACGGCCCTGCAGGCACACATGGAGCACAGCGCCACCCCCCAGGTCAGAGCAGCGCACGTGCACCTCCACGCACCTCAGCTAGTGACTGGCACGGCACAAACTGTTCAGTGTGTGTGTCTGTCCACGTCTTCCCACGCAGCATGAAAAGTCTGAGATGAAGCGCGAGCTGTGGAGGATCGAGGATGTGATGGCCGGACTTTGTGCCAGCAAGGCCAACTACAAGATCACCATCGACTCGGTTCAGAACCCAGGTGGGCAGGACGGGGAAGCTGGCAGCGGCTGCTCTGGGATCTTAATTCAGGAGCGTAGTTTAAAGGCTGGCTGTAAATGCCATTAAGGGCCGGCTTATATTTAGTGCTCTTCCCTTTTTTGTGGTGCTGACACATCCCACCAGAGAGGAAACTAGTGCCTTCGGTCTCAGACTCTGCAGTGCCTTCCCACAGCGCAGAGGTCCAGCCCCCCCCCCGCAGCTCCATCCCAAACATCCCCCCCCACACTTTGCCTGCCAGCGCCGTGCCAAAGTGGGTGAGTGGCTGCACACGGTCCGCCCCATCCTCCGCTGTGGCCCCGGGAGCCTGCTCTGGTAGGTCAGACACTGCTAAAGCCTGCTTTCATCTCCACACAGGCAGAGGAGGACGCCCCCCCCCGCCCGCCGCTGCCCCACCTTTACGACTACGAGGACACGCCGCCCGTGGTGCCCCCCCTCCCCAAAGAGGCGTCCGTCATCCGCCACACGTCGGTGCGAGGCCTGAAGCGGCAGTCGGACGAGAGGAAGAAGGACAGGGAGAGCGGGGCCGTGGCCAACGGAGAGCACAAGGTACAGCACAGCAGGCCTGTCCACTCTGCTGGTCAGAGCTGGACGAAGAGGCCCTCAGCTTTGCTGTGTTGTGAGGGGGTGTGACACGCTCACTCCAACCCATTTCCTGCTTCCTGTTTTAGACTGACCTGAGATCTTACCTGAGTGAGCCGGAGCTGCCAGGAATCAGCCAGCACAGCACGGGCTCTGACCCCGACTACCAGTTTTACCCCGCCAAAGGTATCTGACCGCTGACCTGCTGCTCATGTGACAGGAAACTGGATTTGGTACTTTATTTGAGCCCTTTAAAAAAAGATGTGTAGTGTGATTATAGTTAGTCAGAACACTAATTTGATGCTTTGTACTGTATAAAATATGGTGTTATCTGATTCTGATTCTGTACAAGCAAAAGCCAGTTTGGATAATAGATTTATTTACCCCAAATTATGAGATTATTCAGTGAAAATATATAGAATGTCGTCGTGATATCACCCACAAATGCTCTTTTATTGCCCGTTAGCATAAGAAGAGCCTAATGCTTATTTATCAAAATCTAATAAAAATGCTAAAGTTTTGCTGTTCTGTAAAGTTTATATTATAAATATATATATATATATTTATAAATTTTTTAGATTCACATGGTTCTGAAATCCTTTAAGTACAGATTCAATGAGTTTCCCTTGTCCAAAATGGATTTTTGCATTCTGTTATGTGCTTTCTCTGTGGACAACAACTCGTGTTCAATCTTTACATGGATTAAGCCCAACCGTGTTCACTCTCCTCCTGTCAACATTACTCTGTCTACAGGCACCTCCTCCCGTCTGAACCAGTCCGACTCCATCTCATCCTACGTCACTCTGAGGAGGGTGCCGGGCAGCTCTGCAGCAAAGGTGAGTGAAGGCAGCCGGGCTCAGCCGGCCTGTCAGCCCGATGAGCAGGAACAGCACAAACACGCACAAACACGCACAAACCGGATCACCCTCCCAGATCGCACGCAGCGCACTTTAGTGATGGAGAGCAGGGGGGGGAGCGGCCCGCTGGATGATGCCAGGGCTCTGTTGGCTGCAGCCTCACCAGTGTTAGACCCAATATCAGAAAAGCTTCATGTAGTTTCTGCATTTCTTTAGCGGCATCGCTAACAGCCTGCGTTTCAGTTTAACAACTGCTGTGCATCTCAACAGGACTCCACCCAGAATGCAGCCCTCTGTGTCCACACTCAGAACATTTTTAGGCAACCAGTCAGTGAAACTGGTGCTTTTTCAATCTCTGGAGGAAGTTAGGTGTACATCAGGGGTTACCATGGTGACCCGCACGGCTAGTCTGGAAAAGAGGCACTTTTGAGATGTCGGTTGTGTGAAGATGGACGGCAACATTCAGGCCGCCGACCTCAGTTTTCTATGATCACATTCTGATGCTGATGTCCACGTGAGACCTACACAGATATTACAGCCACATTCCCCTTTTCATGTTAAAGGCAAAGGGTTGACTATTGACCTACATCCCAGAAGTTGTGTACAATAACTACAATGTTTTCGCCCTCCCGCCAAAACCGGCGCCAGCCTCCTTCCCTGTTACCAGATTTTGTGGCGGATGTCACTGGTAGTCCACACACTATACAGATCAGGGTCTCAGTGAGTCCTCAGAGATTACTAATCCCTCTGACTTTGATCTGGTTCAAGTTTTAATCATTTCAGCTTGAAATGTGAACTTCCTTTTTTTTGTTTTGTTTTTTACCTTCCCCCGTTCAGCATTATGTCAGCAGCATTGTAATTTGAATTCCTCATCATGTCAAGGCAAGCTGGGACTTTTGTGTCTTAAAAATGTTCATGCATTGTGGACCTGATTGACACTTTTACTGGTAAATAGTGCCTCCATCTCCTCTCTGGCCTTGCCTCTCCTCCAGGAGAGACCTAAGAGTGCCTTGGAGCGTCTGTCTTCGCCCACCGAGGGCCCGCCGGCCCCGGGCAGCCAGTCCCGGGGCCGGATGACGGCGGAGGAGCAGCTGGAGCGGATGAAGCGCCACCAGAGGGCGCTGGTGCGCGAGCGCAAGCGGAACCTCAGCCAGGGCGAGCGCCCCTGCCTGTCCACCAGCGCGTCCCTGCGCTCCTCCTCCTCCTCCAGGCTGCCCTCCTCCGGCTCGGACGCGTCGGCGCCCGTACGGTACCCCCCCCGCAGCAGACACAGGGGGGAGCCCCCCCACCACCACCAGTGCTGCCACGCCCCGCTGCAGCCCCCCCCCACATAACAGCCAGAACGCTAACACCAGCACTCTGCCCTGAGTAACCATTGGTTGTTTGACTGTAGCTGCTAGCGACTAACCAGCTGAATGGCAACACTCACACACCTGTGTGGTTAACACCTGTCAGAAGAGTGCACCTGGGAACAGGGTCTGGGCAATATTTGGCCAGGCTTGGACATGGACCAAGTGGCTCTCTATTTATTTTATTTTTTTAATATTCAAAGGTTTAAGAGAACTTTATTCCCACTATCCCCCCCCCCCCCCCCCCCGCCAATGGGACCTCACTGACACAATTCTGAATGTAAATCCACCCAGAAGAGGACGGGGAAGGCATGGCTTTACCTTAGCAGTTGTAGAGAGGAGAGCCCGTTTCCGTACATCTACACACTGTGTACTCGTACACTTTTATTTATTTACTGAGTGATATTTTCAGTATACAGCTGTACAGTTCTATTTTGTAGAAAATTGGTATATAGAGCTTATTAGAGGAGTGGGAGATGTGTTAGGAAACATTTAAGGGGAAAAAACAACACGTTTTCAGGTTGACCACGTGAAGAAAAGAGGCAATGCTAGCGGCACCAATCATGATCACACCTCTCTGCTTTCTTTTCTTCAAATGAATTCCAAGTGCCTTGTTTCGTTTTGCCTTTGTCCCAAAATGTACCTCCTGGATCACAGGCGTGTTCAGGCCTGGTTGGTTGGAAGCACGAGCCCCCCTCCTACATTACGGAAATCGTACAGGAGCCACTTTTAAGCTGCTTTTCTGTGTAATCTGCAGATTTTAGTCAGGGAGTCGTCGGAAAACTTGCAGCACTTAATCCAAAAAGAAAGAATCAGGCAAAATCTAGCTTTCGGCTACTTGTGCCCCATGATGTCAGTTTGAATGGAAAGCTACCAATGCTAACACGCTTGGGTGGAAAAAATATATTAAAGTAGATTATTTTTAAGTTAAAAAATCAAACATGATAATTACACACTAACACACACAAGTAACCAGACTGCTGTTAGTTAGATCTACCATGAATCTTTTAAATCAGTCATTGTGCTTTAAGCAATACATCGTTTTCTCATGTTCCGCTACCACTTCACACCTTCACACTCTTTTTTTTTTCACCAGGGCATATTTATTTTTGTTGTGTACTCCACCAGCATCAGATGTGTTTACACCAGTCAAAGCTCACACCTCCATTCACAGCCTTTTTTTAAACCGTTTGGCAGCAGTTGATAATTGTACGGTTAAATCCCGAGCGCGAGGCGGTACTCAGGTCCGAGTACTTTTTAAGTGGCCCCAGTCGTTTTTATGCATCAGGAACTGGGCTGAAAATGCAATAAAGAGCGGTGCGTGATCGAGGAGTGGACGGCCACGCGGGGGGGGTAGAGGCCTGAGCGGAGTCCCCCCCCAGCCAATAACACGGCTCCATCGCTTTAATCATTTTTGGGGCTATACATACATATATATATGTATAAAAATGACTGAAATGTCTGCAAACAAATCAAAGTCCCGGCAGCACTTTAAGAACTCCCCTGGTCCGCTCCTCGCTGCCCGCCGGAAAACGAGCCCCAGAGTTTTTCCCGCCATGTTGCTTTCATTTTTTTTACCCCAGAAGGGTGTCAGATGAAGACAGGTTGCTGGCTTGACCACACAGTAGGGAATTAGAGAGGTCAAGTGCTAACCGCCACCTAATTCTGTGTAATTGAGAAGCAACACTCGACTCTTTTCCCCTTTTCTTTTCTATCATGTAGAGATTTGCACTCGACAATAAAGAGTTTCTTGCTTCTGAACCTCTTGGCTGTCTTTCTTGCTAATCTGGTGGAGGTTTGATAAATGCGTGTCTGCATGGTTTTCTCTCTCTCTCTCCCCCCCCCTCTCTCCCTCGTGTCCGTCTGCATCTGACTGATTGTCCCGAGCACGAGGAGGCATGCGCTGCAGAGTTTCTCAGAGCATGTGAGAAAAAGCGTCAGCCCGGAGCTGCTGCAGCGGGAGGATGCATGCATGGCTTTGATGCTCCTGGGATGATTCCTCCAGCCCCCCTCATCCCACCAGCACGTGCTGTCAGACAGTAGGCCCCAGAGCTCTCATAGTTGTGTTGATGCGCAGTAGAAGTAAACATGTGGTAAGTGGCCTAGTCTAGTCTCCTGCCTGGGTCCCCTCTTTGGAAGTTCTTGCTGTAGTTACTGCGACCTACACGGAAAGGCCAGTATTTGTCTCCCTCTGGCTGCACCGCAGCTCCCTGCAGCAGAGCGTGAACAAACCAGTCACACCAGTATAGTCAGGACATGTTTTCAAATGTCCATCGAAAAAAACAAGTGTTTTCTAAAGAAATCAGTTTGCGTTTTATGCTTTAATCTTCTTTGGGATGCATTTTTAATTGACAAACCACAGCATTGATCTTTGTTAAAAGGGTGGAACGAACAGAGGGGGACAAACAAATGGCCAGAAATTCAGGAACATCTTTGCTTGGAAAGACTTCTCAGTGACCACAAGTGATCAACGCTAATTAATTTGCTATGAATTGAATAACGGATTAATGGAATAATAAGGCTTAAGCTCTCGGAAAAACCACTCCAATCTAAAACCAAAGGCTTTAGCATCTCACCTGTGCAGTTTATGGAGTCTCATAGAGCTTCTAGGAACCATTTCATGCTGATGGCCTCATTTGATGCAGAGCATGGGCTGTTTCACAGATGCCATCGTAGAAAAAATGTAAAGAAGATATTTTCCTTCAAAGTAAAGCTCATTTAAGCACATGCATTCTGACCTCCCGTGAGTAGCTCTGTGGTCCTGACCTCTGCCTCTCTGAAGGTGTTTGACTGGCGGGAGGAGAGACCAGGAGCGGAGGGTCAGAGCGATGAAGGCCTGAGCCAGGTCAGGGAGGGGGGGAGGAGGCTGTCGGACGGGTGGGTGAAGGCCGTGGCCACCCGCGTGCACGAGGCCGACCTGGAACCCTTCGACTACGACCTGGACATCAGCCGGGAGGTAGAGACCCGTCCGATTGGTCACAGCGCTTTGTGGCGGGCCCCTGACTCTGGGGGGGTCAGTATAAACCCAAGAAGGGCTTCTCCTTTCTGTCCCGTTTGCAGCTGTCCAAGCCCCAGAAGGTTCTGATCCCAGAGCGGTACGTGGAGTCTGATCCGGAGGAGCCGCTCAGTCCAGAGGAGCGGGAGGAACGCTCCCGCCGGGCCGAGCGCATCAAGACCCTACTGGCCAAGTCCAGGTATCCCCTTCAGCCGGGGGGGTCTGTGTTCTCCCTACAGACCTGGGACCCTCTGTTAAAGACAAACCTACTATAAACCTTCAGCTGGGAGAAGGCCTTATTAACTCCAGCTCAGCGTTTAGGATCTGAGGGCACAAATGGTTAAAGCTTCGTACGTGTACTTCTCTCCCCATTTGTGTGGAAGTATCTGAAGGGGGTAATTAAAGCAAGGGGTGTGAGCAAAGAGCCAAAAACCAGGTACCCAGGTTTGTGAAAAGTACCTTCTTTACATTATGAGTTGGACAGGCCTGGACCACTGGCTTTATATTCTGTCCACTATGTAAATGTGATCGTCTGTGTAGAACGAGCCGGGACGTTCGTTAAAAAAGCAGCAGCAGACGCTGCTCCAGATGCTGCTGGTTTTGAAGAATGCGCCTGAAACCAGTCCCAATGCTTCTCTTCCTCTTTAGCCGGAGGGACTGAAACCATTTCCAAAAACTTCTCACCATCGGCTTTGTTCAAGGTCAAGTGCAATTAGAATCCAATTAGTTGTGACGCGTTCATAATTCAGCCAATTCAGCTCATTCAATTCTAATCAGTCCAATTCAGACGCGGCCAAATCCTCAGAGGGACTGAGTCCAGCCTCCATCAGGAGCAGGGGCCAGGCATCACACACAAACCTCTGCATGAGCCACAGGCTCTGGGAGAGCGGCCATCTGCCCCCCCCCCAGCTGAGGGTCCAGACAGCACAGCAGCCACTGGATACCTGAAGAGGGGGGGCACAAGCGCCCCAAAGCATGCTGGGAGCTGCGCCTACAGTCTGAGAGCAGAGGGGGGCAACAGAGGGACGCGGGGGGTCACATGAAAAAAGGTCGCAAAGGAAATGATAAGCCAAACTCTAAAGGAAAAGAGGGGCTCTGCCTCTGGAGCCCCCCCCCGGCCAGAAGGTTCTGCAAATGAACCTGGACTCTGAGAGCTAATGTCCAAACCCTAGGACCCTGAGCTTTACATACCAGGAACACCGTGAAGAGAAGCTAAAGCTGGCTACAGCATTTTGGATCCGTTTTTTTGGGTGTTTCAGTGTACACGACTCAGCATTTTTTTATATCTGATGCAGGCACTGATTTCGAGTCGGTCAGTTTGAACATGGAACACTGTGACTGTGTTGTGTATCGGAGTAGATGTGGGATGGAAAAGAATTTGCCAGTATATTTTTTTTAAAGATTTATATCTTACAGTGTCCCAATTTCAATTTATAATCTCCAAAAGTGCCTGAATGTTTTCCAGTAAATATTTTCACCACTGGTCACATTCAACAGGTTTTTTTTTCTGAATGATTCATTCAGAAAAAGTGGGGCGGTAAATGGGGTGTGGTGGTCAGCACATTCACCTCACAGCCAGAGGGTTCTGGGTTCTAGTCCCCGGGGGAACCAGGACCTTTCTGTGTGTCCCTGTGATGGACTGGGGACCGTCCAGGGTGACCCCGCCTCTCCCCATTGGCTACTGGGATAGGCTCATACCCCCCAAAGACCCCGTTAGGGGATAGGAGGTGAGGATGATGGGTGGATGGTTAGTTTCCCTCTGACCGCAGCGATGTCCCCCCCCACAGTGTCCAGAACCTTCAGCGGTCGGCGGGGCCGGGCGGGGGCGAGCTGGACGGGGTCCTGCAGCGGCAGGAGCAGATCATGCGTGTGTCCCACGCCCTGGCCTCCGAGGCCTCGCGCAGGAGCAAGCTGGTCGCAGGTGGGTGACAACCCCAGCCTCTGGACGCCCACAGCTACGGTCACCGCCCACAGCTACGGTCACCGCCCACTGCTACGGTCACCGCCCACAGCTACGGTCACCGCCCACTGCTACGGTCACCGCCCACAGCTACGGTCACCGCCCACTGCTACGGTCACCGCCCACAGCTACGGTCACCGCCCACAGCTACGGTCACCACCCACTGCTGTTTCACCCAGACTTTTCCTGCTCCTTTAGATAGTCGGAAGGTTGAATAAATAGGTTATGCAACAGCTTTTGGTGATTTATGTCCATCACAGATAGGACATTACATAGGACATTGATGGAGGGAAGTGTGGCAGGTCTAATTCATCTTGAATCAGTACATATTGCAGAGTTGAACTTGTGAGGCAAACTTCTGTATTTTGCTACAGTAGTTTATTTTACAGTGCCCTCCGCTTACCGCTTTGCTTTCCTCTCCTCAGCCAAAGCCGCAGCAGAGCACTGAAGCCCGGCCACCAGGAGTCCCCGGGAGCCCGGGGCCCGGCCCCCGGGAGCGCGCGTGGAAACGGAGGCACGGCCATGCTTCCCAACAAATTCATTTTAACCAAATCCCCTTTTTCTAATGAATCAGCACATTACAGTTTTTAAAAAAAAGTTTTGATTGTTTTTCGAATACTACCATGTTTTCCTGCTTCTGCACCTTTCACTGCACAAGAACAAAAAAATGAGCACAAGGGATCCGGATCAGAGCTGTAGATGAAATCCCCGGTGACGCTGATGTTCTGACAGGAGGAGCTTATTTATTTCTCCGTTTGGCTTGAGGTGTGTCTCCTGTGACGTTTTTTCCCCTCAACACTGCCATCCATACCCGAGCGCTGTCCCTGACCTCCAACGCACCTGAAGGTGTGAGCAGTCCAGTCCATGCAGCGCGTCCACCCCACACACCGCTGCTGTGGCCAAACTACAGCCAGCACACGCTTTATTCTGGAAGGTTTGAGGCACAGCTGCATCCAATAACACTGTCCAGGACTTCAGTGATACTAACGTCTATTACTGAGGGCTGCATTTTCCCAAAAAGCTGTTCTTATTGATGCAAAGAAAGCAGACCTCTGTCCAAGTGGACTGCCGGCCTCATTAAAACGACATAATGTGTCATCTCAAATCTAATCCAAAATGGACTCAACATCAGATGATCAGCAGCAGGTGACACGCCCCCTCTGATGGACGAGCACTGTGTGTTTAACAGAAAACTAAAATAAGTCCTCCTCATCCACCAGGGAGGACTTTTTCCTCTCCGTTTATTGATTCTGAAATGCTTTGTAGATTTTCTGAAACCATTAAAGGTTCTGCGTGGGCGTTGCGTTAACACCCCCCCGATGCTCCAGAGGTGCTTCTGTAGAGGGGCACACCCTCATAACACCACCACTTTCCCTCTTATGTCCTCTGACATTTGACTGAGTCAACAAAGTTCTGCATCCACTTCTTCTGTATCTCCTTTTGCCTGGCATTAAATGAATCATGACACAATGTAAAATGTCACATGTTCTTTATCTGTACTCCAGACAGGTTCACTTTGCATTCGGCCTTTTTTTCCTGGTAAATATCACTTAACTTTAAGCATAAGCAGAAAGATCTTGCAGCATATCCTTGTTATGGTGACATTTTAGTTCAATTAGACTGGATATGAAATACCTGACCCAACTGAAGAACGCTGCAAACACTTTCTCAACAAAATAAGACAGATTTCTAAACCCTTTTTAGAAGTTTGTAAGATCTTTTTTGAGATCATTCTACAGTATAATACCAGATAAATACAAAAAAAAAATATCGCCATGTTACAGCAGTATTTTTTTCCAATAACGAGGCTTTTTTTTAACTTTTGGACGGAGCTAACACTGCACACACAGGGACCCCGTTTATCTTAATGTGGGACTTCTGAGGATACAGAGGCAGCAGATCTTTTGGAGCGTTTGCAGTACATAAGCAGACAATCCCTCTTTCTCTTTTTAGAATTTATTTCATTTGGGGGAAGGTCTTCTTGGCGGACAACAGATTCTAAAGAGACACCCAGCTTCTGACCACCTCACTAAGTGGTGGATCTTCACAAGTTGCTGGCTTCAGCTATCATGACAAAAACAAACAGTTGTAGGTGAATAGAATACTGGAGATGTATTAAAAAACAAAACAAAAATAAACAGATGGAGACAAAGTCTAGCGTCTTTACATTATTTTAAATGAACAAGAGGCGGTCACACCTCCGATGGTAAAATAGACGTAATGCAAAAGAGTACTGACAGAAAGGGTTTCATTCACAAGTTTTCAGTTCAGTCTGATCTTCATTTCATATACCCACGCTGCTGTTGCTTGACTAACATGTGATCAATAAACCGTTGAATTAATGGGAAATGCTCTGACCTTAGATAGGAGTCCGACCTCGGTCGGGCCCAAAAAGTTCTGCAGTACTCTGTGAGCCGTTTATGATCAGAGGGCTAGAGTTAAACCACAGGAGCCCCACCTGCTCACGGGGCCTTCCACAACCTATGAGCATACAGAGTGAGCACTGGTTCCTCATACATAACAGTTTGCAGTTTGGAAAAGAAGGTTGCTACTCCCTAAAGGATTCAGAATCAGACATGAACCAGGAGGTGAGACCATGTCTTAAGCGCTGTCCAAGTGAAACGCTTCCGGTTTGATCGACTCACTAACTGAAATTAAGATTTTATTCTATTTTTGAAAAAAAATGTCACAAAAACGTTTTTCTGTGTTTCTCTCTCTCTCTCTCTCTTCCATACTTATCCAGAGATAGAAAATCCTAAAAACACTAGGCTTTGTTCAGAATGTAAACTAACGATCATTACAAGTGTAGCCTCCTTTTATTGGGTTTCAAACAGAAATGACCAAAAGTCACAATGCTTACACCGGCCGCGCCTACAGCCGCTGATCTCGCTTCTTCCACATGGTTGGAGAGTGCCACTAAAAAGGTGTGGGACGAAATAAAAACTGGATCACCTGCCTCTGAGCGCCAGTGGTCTCCGGGCAGTCAGAAAACGTCTGCGACAGCGCTGCGGGAGCAGGAAGCGTGTGGGCAGTGAGCGGCCCAGCCCGCGTCTCTACACAGTAAAATGACAAAAACAAAGAATCCAACTGTCCAGATCTGAAAATGACTAAAACTAATCCCTGCCTGGCCGCCGCCCGGCCCTACGCCGACTGGACAGAGGCCGTTTTGTGATCGTGCTTCCGCTCCTCGGCCGAGCTGTCCGAGCTGGAATGGTCCGGCTCCGGGGAGTCCTCCTCCAGGCTGGAGTCGCTGTCCGAGTCCTGAGCCTCTGCGGGGGCCTCCTGCCCGGGGGACTTGTCCGGCTTGTCCTCTGTGTGGCCGTCGGCTGGGGGACAGGGAGTGGACTCCGGCTCCGGGTCCGGCTGCAGAAAAGAAAGAGAAAGAACACAAAACCATTTTCCCCTCTCACTTCTGTTCACACGTGCAGTCTGAGGGCAGAGCAGCACTAAATCCTCCAGGTTAGATTCAAGTCAGGAGAATGACTTGGCCACTGTCAGATTTAGCTGTATTGAAGCGTCATGGCGGCAGAAACTGCAAATACGGCACAATTCCTCTAGTATCCACTCAGCTGGACAAGCCTTTATTCGACTTGTCTTCCACTCTTGACCCACCCCTTTTCACTGTGACCCAGGTTAATCTGGACTTGTCTGTCTAAAACACCTTTACAAGCTCTCTGCCCCTCCTTTTGGTGTGTTTTTCTTCAACCGATCTGGCCAGCGGGCATTGATGGCTAACTGGTGGCTGCATCGTGCGTGGGCGCCTTTTCTCTTTCTTAATGAGTGGATAACTGTGGATAAACATCTCAGACAAAGACACAGCTATCTGAGACCGGTTCTGACCAAGCTTTTTTCAGGAAATGCCATCAATGTGATTGTGAGATCCTAAAACTTGAGCCTACTTATCTTTACTTGGAAAATCTTTACTTGGAACAGCTTTTCTTAGCATTGTAAAACAGCAACAGTTCACTTGTGTTGTACAACACAAGAGAACCCTACAAAAACAACAACAAAAAAACAACCTTTTCAGCCCTCCTTAAGGAGTGAGAGCACACACTCCTGAGAGGCTCACCTCACTGAAACCCAGGCCACAGTGTCTCCGGTTCCGACCCGACAGCTTCCCGTCCATGCCCTGCTGGTACTGCATCTCCAGCTCCTCGTTGATCTTCCTATCCTCCTGCCCTGCAGAGGACACGCCAGTCACAAAAAAGCACACCCAGCCCCTACAGATCTATCCAAACGCAGAGAGATCTGCATGCCGGATGGGGGGGGGCAGGATTAGTTGCACTGGGCGTTTGGACGATGGCTATGGGGAGTGGGACATTGTTCCGAACGTGTCGGCTCACCGGTTCGGAAGTGGGAGGTCGACTTGTGGTCACCGATGACAAGACGGCCAGTATGCTCTTTCTGGAAAAACAGAAACGGTCAAACCTCCAGCCAATCACGAGCTGGAACAGTGAACGCTAAGGCCATGCGTGGGACAAACCTTGCTGGCGCCCATCAGCCGTAAAAACTTCTGTTTCCTCTCATTGCTTCCCAAATCGGCAGATGCCCACTGAGATGCGTCCTGCAAAGTTAAAACAGTTTCAGTGTGTAAACCCTTAATCTTTAATAAAGCCGTTTCGGGCAGTTTCAAACAGGGCTAGATAGCCGATACGATTCCTGCAGTCCCCACTCTTTTACCCGGTAAATCAGTAAAAGTCGCTCACGTTTATACACATTTGTGTGAGCAAATTTGTGTGGAGTTAGGAGATTTTGTGAAATCCATGTCAGTGTAATGGATTTTTTCTTTTTTATCTTGTATTAATCCTCTAAGGTTGTAACCACAAGAAGTTATATGCAAGTCTGATTCAGTGTGGTCCTGACAAGCAGGGAAAAAGTGGAGATGGGTTACATCAGTAGGTCAAATGCAAGCAGGTGTCCATAAAATGACTGAAGTCTCTGCTGCTGGCAAAAAAAAGAACATGTTCGAGGGCTGTGCGAAATGAGGACCAACAATGTTTTAGTCGCACAGTTGTTATTAAAATTAGACTGAATGCTCTCTATTCATATTAGAGGATGTTTGCTGCATAGTGTAAGGAAATCACTTCTGGCTCAATCATCACTCTTATTCATCCTAACAAAAGATATTTTCTTTGAGAACAACTTAAAAAAACATGCTATATTCCAACCTGGACCCATTAGGTTTAGAAGGATTTGTTTAATAGTAAGTGGTATGATTTAGGCAAAGAGTTTTATCCAAGTTAGAAAATCTGAAGTTTGCTCATAATCCAGATTTTACGACCAAACTATCCAACACAAACCGTTGGCTAACTGGCTAACACCACGCTTAAAATATTTAATTGTCTAACAATTTTCCCGAATATCAATATCTGTTTTTTGTCGTTTCACTTACATCGCTTGGAGAAACGGGTCTCTTTGTGCCGTGTTTATTCTCTGGAGAACTCATTGCGAACGACAGTTTTTGTTAAAAATGTCGACAAAAATCTCATGCCACCTAGCAGAGCTAGCTGAATTTGTCAACAATTCCCACTCACTCCGACGTCACTTCCTGTCCCTTCTTCTTCTGCTGTTCTACCAAAACCGTGGAGTGGATGCTGCCGCCATTAGGAGGCATTTGTCACTTCGGCCTTAAAACGAAACACGACGGACAGGTTCAGCTTTTAGCGGCACACGTAAGTTCTGAGATTTGGAGCCACTGGCCTTGCAGAAGAAGAGTTATTTAAAACATTCGGAAGGAAAAGTCCGACATAACACATTTGTTTATTTGGAATATTTAGTCGAAATGAAGTAGGACCATATGATACGACATACCACCTTTAAAAAAAGAAAGTTAGCAAAGCAAAGAAAAACACCACGCAATTTTTAAAATAAACAGATAGTTTTGAGGAAATCTGAGCAATCAATAATTTTCGTGGTTATGAGCCACGAAATGGTTTCCAAAAACAGCGCCAAGTCCTTTATATGAAAGACTTTACATTAAGTCATTTGAAGAGACTTATACAATTGAGTTTAGATAATGAATTATAAAATAACACTGATACGCTTTATATTGTGTTGATACTTCTATACTGGACATTATAGATATTTTATTCCTGGAAATGATCTAATTTGCGTGGTCCAAAGGTTAAACGGGAGAGACAACTGTGAGTTGAAATGTGTATGTCAAATATTACATTATTATATCTAACAAGAAGGGTGATTAACTGGGGAATTCCGTAACTAAAGTCAAACCAGTTCAATCTGCTGAGGCCAAATTATTTCATTTAACTGTCACAGCTGCTCTGCTGAACTAGATAGTTTGTTCAGCCTTATAATGCCTTTGCTTTTTCATTCATGGGGCAGTTTGGTATCAAGGCTGTTTGATCCATACAGAAGAAATATAGAATAGCTTTAAATGATTTAATAAGATTGATATATATCCATAAAAAAATGACTTGAAAGGAATAATTTTCTCTTCAACTGTACAAAGTAGGAAATACACCAAATTACACTGTTATTCAACACCATTCTGTATTTCTTGGTGCAGTTTATTTTTCTTTTTGGGTCCTTGGGGCTTTTCTGTGCAGCGTCATGGAAATGATGTTTAATAGGTTAGACGTATCATGAAAGATAGAGCCTACCGATATGGAGCAGACGGATAATTGGCCTTTAATGCGTCTTATTCATGTTTCCAAAAGCAGCATCGCTGAGGGAAGGTGAAGTAACGGAGCGCGCGCTCGCGACCCGCCGGGAGGGGGCGCGCTCGCGTAACGCGGACGGAGCTCGCGCCCCGGACGCTCGCGCCGGACGGCTGTTGCGCGTCGACGAAACCGGGAGAAGTGTTTGTGTTGCGCTGTTCTCTGTGAACGCCCCGGGCCGGCGGGCTCTCTGGCACGCGGAGCGCGCTCGTGTTCGTTTCAACGCCTTGTTTCCAATAAAAAGTTTTTTTTTCTCCTCGTGACAAATGTGGGGGAAAAACAGGTTATCTTTCAGGACTTCAATATTGGAATGACAGGATCACTTAAAAAAAAAGCCCAAAACTCCAACATTTATATCCCCAACTTTTTAAATAGGTGCCACATATAATGACAATAAAGGCATTTCATTTCACTTCCTGATGCAATTATTCTTCATTTTTCATTTCTGGAGACCAGGTGGCTGACACGCGTGCTCAAAAAGCGGGTTTTTGATCCAAATGCAGCGCAAAATAAGAGGGAAAGTGGATAAAACAAGCGGGGGAGAGACATAATGTTGAGATTGTTTCATATGTTTGCGGACAACTCACTTCAGGAAAGTGACACGGACGAGCAGAAAGACAGATAGCCGAGCGAGGGGGAGGGGGGGGCGGGTGGGGGTGGGGGGGGTAGAGGAGGGGTTATCCTCACTCTGCCGCTCTGCCCGGCAGTGCCCTGCGCTCTCACCAAGCCCCCACATTGTGCCGGACGGGAAATAAGCCGACAATACTTTTGAAAGCTTTTTTTTTCTCTGAACAGCGACCGTCCGACTGGCCGTCCCCCGGACCCGGCGTCCCTTCTGACTCTTCCACCGAGGCGTTTGATTCTGACTTCCAGAGCCTCAGGCGGAGCGCAAAACAGAGCAGAGGAGTTACCAAAGTCCCGACCCGCTCCAGCGATGGTGACTTTACGCACGGACTGGAAGGCTGTCTGATCTGACCCGCTCCGCCCGGTGCCAGTGTCCGCGTCTGCAGGAGAGGGGCTGCGAATGCCGAAGCAGTGAGAGGAGGTAAGGAGCCCTGTTGCACGCGCGCGGGGGGGCGCCGGGACGCGTCCTCCGGACGGCGTGTTTGGAGGAGTCGGTGCGCGCTCCGCTGATCTGCCGCTGACAGCGGAGGTCCGGCCGCATCCCGGCCCCGGAGCTCTGCCCTGAGCCCGGGGATCCACGCGCACACCGACCGGACTGCAGAAAAAATATCAATAATAAGGTTGTTTCAGAAAAAAAGTTTATCTTTATAGAAAGATGACTTCATTTCTCTGAGAGCTTTCCAATACCGGCTTAGAAAGCCTAACGAAAGCTTCTAGACAGAAACAGCATAAATAGGATGACAAGTCCCAACTTTCTCCTCCGGCTGCAAAGTTTATTTTTTCACAGTGACAAATGATTTTAAATATTTCTTTATTTTTCCACACATGGTTTAAAAACCAGCCATAAACTGAGCGATTTTCTAAAATGAAAATTTAAGAAAGAAGTTCATATTTTGCGTCGTTCCACCCCTCACCCCCCCACCCACTCCCCAAATCTCGCAACTGATTTGAAACAAGCAAAAATCAGAATAAGTCTGATGGAGCCCACAGACATAAACAGAAACAGAACTTATTGAATCCTAACTTCTTCTCTTCTTTTCACCCACAAGAAGACATTTTTTGTATTTTTAAAGAGAAAACGATGCACATAAACATAACCGTCATCAGCTGTCCCCCCCGTCTGCTGCACGAGAGAAGGATGCATTAAGATTAGTAAAAAAAAACTAAAAAACAACAACAGTAACCCCAAAATAATCAAAGGAAAAATAAACCAAACTTGCAGCTGTAACGTAAGAAAACTTTTTTAGACGCACAGAATTTGTTTGTTAAATGAGGTGTTACGTTTTCTATCAAAGAGTTCCAAAAAAAGAAAAAGTAATCACAGAGGCTCCCTATCCAGGATCGCTGCTACGCCAACCAATCCCTGAGGTCCTCGTGCGCGTCCACAACTCCTGGGTGCACATTTTAGCCCCCGGGGAACACACAAACACACGCACGCACGCGCGCGCGGGGGAGCTGGGATACAACAGAAAAGAGAACAGAGTTGCATCCTCCAGGCCCCAGTTGACTTTCCCCTCCGGGGTCAGGGCGCTGACCCCGGAGGAATGCGCGCGCCCTAAATTAAAGCAGACCCCAAAGCGTCACACCACCGGCCCGGTGCGCGCAGGGCCGCGTCCCGCACCCGGGGGGGGGGAGGCTCTATGGCCCGGGCTGCTCGCGCTCGGGCCCGCGGGGCCGGGGGGGTTCAGTGTCGGTGCGCCCTGACAGCGCGCGCGGGTTGAGTCTGACGTTAACCGGGTTTGAACTTGAGCCGTGCGCGCGCGCAGAGGCCCGGTCCCGGTCCAAACTCTGCGGCCCCGGACCGGGCCGGGCCCGGCCGGCCGGGGCAGCGTGAGGACGGGACAGGGGGTACGGGAGGACACCAGCAGCCCCGGAGAGAGCGATAAAGCCGGGAGGGTGTTCCCCGTCTAAAGCCACGCTACACCTCCCAGATAAGCCCCTGCCGCCCGCAGATAAGCAGCTCTCACTGTCACAGCGAGAGCGCGATCACACACGCGTGACAAAAAAAAGAAAAAAAGGAGAGAGCCAGAAAAAGCCCAGAAGAGGAAACGCTCAGTCCGGATAAGTGTGTCAGTGATTTCTAAACGTGATACTGAGGCTTTAGTCATTTGGAAGTCCATAAGAGTGCGCAAGCTCCCACTATCGCTTTGAATAGTTTTTTTTTTTTTGTTCGTACCCTTTCTCAGCTTCTTTTTAATTGCACATCAGGTCTGTCCGTGCCTGGGAGTCAGGCCGGGCCGGGCCGGGCCGGGCCGCACGGCCTGCGCGCTAAACCACCATCTCCAACAAGTACTTTAATTGTTTGGACTCTGGCAGAACAATTTATAGACACCCCCCCTCCCCTCCCCTCTCTTGTAAGTGAGAGTGTCTGTCTGAAAAACAATCCTAGCGGGGGGGTTCGCTGAGGCTGATCTCCTGTGGCATTCTGTGAGCAGCAGGTGCTCGGCCCGTCCTGCCCTCATAAGGTAAAGTGGCATCAGAGGGTCCAAATGGCAGACTTATATATAGGCTGCCGCTTCAGCACATTGTCCCGGCCTGCAGGACTGCTCCCCGCGCTGTCTGGGGGAGACCTGCAGCCCCTTTCTTCCCCCCCCCTTCCTCCGCCCCTCTTCTGCCTGTGTGGGAAAAAGCCCCGACAACAGGTCTGAACCAGCAGGCGGTCCCGGTCCATTACGGTTCTGCCGGGGCTGAGGTGTTCCGAGCCGGGTGTCACATGCCCCGCACACCGGAAGACTAATGTGGGTCAAAACCTGCTAATTGACCTAAAAAAAACACGATTTTATTCTGGTCTCAGATTGTCCCGTTTCATCTGAGATGAGGGAAGCTTTGGGGTTCCTAAACACACTCGGCTCCCTCTTTTAAAAAGCCTTCTTTTCACACTATTTATCAACATCCATCCAAGATCAGCGGTTTAAAAAAACTCAGAGTATTATAAAAGTGGAAAATATGTGGAAAAAAAGATTTGAATATATTTTTCTTTCCCTGCATATTAAGTTTTAAAATTGTTCACGCTGCCCTTAATCCAATGAAAGCCTAATCTTGAGATCTAATTCTTAGAAATGGAGCCGTTTCTCTCTGCTTATTCTGTTTTCCCACTATGCGCTCTCTGGGCTGGTGAGAGTCTCTTCCTGTGGTCTGATGCTGAGGGGCTCCTCACAAGCACACAGGGGATGGAAGCATGAGAAATCAGGGCATCTGACAGCGTGCAGCAGGACAGATGGAATTAGAGAGGCAGAGGAGAGGGACGCGGGGGAAGCCCGGCTTTTATCCGGTGCCCAGTCCGACCTGAGCCCAGAGGACCCCGCCGCTCTTA